TTTCCAAGAATTTTCCTCGCCGTTCACTCTCCTAGAACTCTCTGCCTCATTCCCTCCCTTCCTTCCTCATTCCCTCCCTTACTCCTTACCTCCCGCATTCCACCCTCTACGCCAGTGGTTCTCAACCTTGTTTGCCCCATGCACCCCTTGCACCATATGTCAGAATGTCATTCCCCCCTCCTTTCCAAGATTGTCTGCCTCAAAAAGTGCACTCCAAATAATATGCATATAATACTGAAAATCCTTTATGTTTTCCATATTAGTACATATACATTTACAATTTTACATGGAATATTTTTATAGTGGAGTTTTACAAATTAAATGCCAATTGAAAATGTTGATGGATTTACAAAACTTGAATAAAAGAAAAGTTTTTTATATTTATAATGAATTACTTAACAGACCAAACTGAAGCATAATGCAATAAACAAAAAGTTTAATAGAATACCAGGATATTGTAAATTTGTAATTAATTTTATTCAGATGAAGATTACAGTCAATGAGAAACCTGTGATTGTTTTTTCTTCGCCAATTCTGGGATACGCGGAGGAGTGCTTGAAAGGGCACAACGCAGGTCATTTTCTACCTCTAATCTACTACGTTGCTTCGTTTTAATTTGCAACTGAGTTGAAAAGCCTGACTCACAAAGATATGTCGACACAAACGGAAGCAAGACACGGATAGCTCTTTCTGCCACTTTTGGGTAGGAATCGCACATCAAGGGCCAAAATTCTGTGATTGATTTCTCATCGAACATATCTCTTGCTCCCGAATCAGTTTTCCCCCCCCCCCTGAAAACCTGAATTCCCCCCTGGGGGGAATTCCCCCCTGGTTGAGAACCCCTGCTCTACGCTATCCCAGCCTGTACCAAGTTGTACCATCTCCCTCTTTACTCTTATCATGCTTCTTTCCTTCTCTCTCTTTGATAACCTTCCCTCCCTTCCTTCCTCCCTGCCTTCCTTTTCTCTCTTTTTACTCTTTCTTTTCTCCCCCTCCTCTCATTTCCTCATTCACGGCTTTCGAGAAGGGACTTGTAGTGAGGGAAGGAGAGAGAGCAGAGGGAAACTTAAAAGGATGTATGTATATCACACACTCACACACCCTCCCTCCCTCCCCACACATACACCCTCCACACTCACTCATCCTCCCTCCCTCCCCACACACTCCACACTCACTCATCCTCCTCCCTCCCTCCCCACACAGACACCCTCCACTCTCACACATCCTCCCTCCCTCCCCACACATACACCCTCCACACTCACACATCCTCCCTCCCTCCCCACACATACACCCTCCACACTCACACATCCTCCCTACCTCCCCACACATAATAATAATAATAATAATAATAATAATAATAATAATAATAATAATAATAATAGATGCCCCTCGTGTAACGAGGATGGCCGGCCCAAGGGCCATCTAGGTGTGAATTTGTTGAAGGTGTAGAAGCTGTCGCTAACACAACAACCGCACCCTGAGTTAACGAGCTGCATGACCCAGTGTCAAGGAATAGTCCGAGAAGACCGGACAACTATTCAACTGCACTGGCTAACCATTACCCCGGAATACGATCAGCAAATCGATTAACATTCAGGTCCCCAATTACTGCTGGGTAGACAGAGGCAAATGGCGTAAAGAAACTTGCCCTTAGTTTGATCCTGTCCGGGGATCGAACCCGGGTCCGTTGGCTTGCGAAGCGAGCATGCTGACCATTACAACCACAGGTCGCCCCTACACATACACCCTCCACACCCTTCACCCTCACCACACATACCCCACCACACACTCACACTCCCTTCCCCCGCATACACGCCCCCACACTCACTCATCCCCACACACCACCTCGCTCTCCAAACAATCATGATAGTAGAATAACATCCCCGAACCGGACTACCAACCCATGACGCCTCCAACCTGCACTGGACACGAAGGAGAAGGTAACAAGCACCACCACCACTATCACCAAGCACCACCACCTGCAACAAACATCACAACAACCCCCACCACCTGCAACAAACATCACAACAACCCCCACCACCTGCAACAAACACCACCACCACATGAAACAAGCACTACCACCACGTGTAACAAGCACCACCACCACCTGCAACAAACATCACCACCACCTGCAACAAACACCACCACCACCATCACATGAAACAAACATCACCACTACCTGCAACCAAACACCACCACCACATATAACAAACACCACCACTACCTGCAACAAACGCCACCACCGCTACAAACACCACCACCACCACCTGCAACAAACACCACACCACCACATGCAACACCAAACACACCACCACCACATGCAACAAACACCACCACCACCACCACCACCTGCAACAAACACCACCACACATGTAACAAACACCACCACATGCAACAAACACCACCACTACCTGCAACAAACACCACCACATGCATGCAACAAACACCACCATCACATGTAACAAACACCACCACCACATGTAACAAACACCACCACCACATGTAACAAACACTACCACCACATGTAACAAACACCACCACCACATGCAACAAACGCCACCACCACATGCAACAAAAGCCACCACCACATGCAACAAACACCACCACCACCTGCAACAAACACCACAACCACCACTCACAACCTAACCATCACACAAGGAACCCACTCAGGATGGCTGGTAATGGAAGTAATCAACACTGCTGCCTCTCACCTGTGTTCCGTAAGCCAGGTAACTTACTAATGTTATTGTAACTTATTTGAACACCGTAATTTCTTATCCAATTAACGTGAATGGACTTTCTGTTCGATTCTATGGAGGAAAACTATAGTACTGGAGTCTTACTTTTGTTTTGTTTGTTTAGCTTATGTATATTAAATTATATACACTAAAACAAGAACATAGACTATCGTCACTTAAACCACAGCCAAAATACCAGCTAAGTTTGTTTATATTCTCAGTTAGATCAATTATTTTTTCTCCCTTTAATGTGAACACGTATCATAACGGTAGAGTTTTGTGCAAATTTGGGCGCCATCTTTGTGTAGTCATTTAAATCATTATCACCTATAAGATATTACCCAAAATAGCTTTAAGTTAATACTGATGGTCTGAAAATCTAAATAGAGATTTATGATATGAAAACTATGTTATGCTGAGGACAGTAAATGACCAACGTTTTTTTGTTACTTGTGTTTAATGAGACGTTGGAATGACCTTGTATGAAATGTAGCTTTATTTCCTTTAATGAACTTCAGTGTTGAGTCTGATGATAAAAAAGTAACGTTCACAAGTTCATTAAAAAGAGAGAAATAAAAGTGTTTTTTTTTTCAAGGTAAGAATTCAGTCGTTTGATTAAAGCGAGGAACGAAATGTATTTGAAAAGTAGAAGATTCAGCATTTGGGTTATAAAAAATAGGAACAAATATTTATTTGTATTTGAAAACTTAAATCATTGGGTTAAAACAACTTACTAATACAGTATTTGGTTTACTGTAGAGTTTTAACATTATGTGTAAACCGCTGTTGCTGTTCTGTGTATTGTCCTGTACCCAATAAAAGGGAAATTTTACCCTATGAATATTTGAGAATCTGGATTGTGATTGACTGACATATTTGAAGGCATTGTACAGTTGACCACATACTTCCCTGGACACATGGCAGTATGTGTCATGTACAGTAAGTACTTAAGGATCATTAGGTGAGAGGGATTAGACTTAACGTATTTTCTCATATTTCTTTATGTTAAAGAGTGATTTTTTTGTGATTCCGACATATTATGTGACGAAAAACAACGTTATTACGTTATTGTTATATAAACCAATTACAAATATGACCCATGAAGTAGATGCCAGATATTTCTTACTGTTCAAGGAATTTTGTCTGCAAATGTACATAATAAATGATATCAACATACAGGTTATCATACGTACTGAGAGGAGCTGATGATGATGATGGTGGTGGTTTACTGCTACTTAATCTAATCTAACCAAACCTTATCTAACTCAACCTGGAACAACCTAACCTAATCTAACGCAACCTGACGTAACCTAATCAAACATTAGTGAGCTGGTATGATTATGTATTCATATCCGTGCCGATGCCTGTACCTATCTACCTCAACGTCGCTGTAAAGGAGACAGACAAACAGACAGACAGACAGACAGACAAATGAGCAAACAGACAGACATACGAAAGAATATAAAGGAAGAATAATTAAAATCATTCTAAAATCAAATCATATCAAAGCTCAAACACCCAGAGAGGAGGAACACCAACGACTCGTTGCAATAGAAACTGGCTGTAGGAGGTGACGTCAGACAGCGCTTCTCACCCCTCATCACCTTAATTAACATATACCTGGAGTGTATTTAATCTTAAACAGGTGGTAAGGGCTCGACCACAAGTCCGAAGAACAAGAAAAAACAAATCCTTATTAGATTTTGTTGTGCCATGCTGCACAAAAACAACCGAACAAGACCGTAGGGAACTTTTCTCTTGAATCGACTGTATCGCCTTCGTCAGTTGGTTGGCAGACCGAGTGGGTGGTTTTCTAGGCGTCTGGACCCAGATGTGTCTGAAAGATTCGAACTTTAATCTTATCTTCGTAACTAAATATGACCGACCACGTCTAGTTAGAGTCGAGCCTTATAGCAGTTAATGAAAATTTTAACTTACGATCGTTTCAGAAATTTGTCTTTAATCGGTTGAAACACATTGCATGTCAGTCTATCATCTTGTATCTTGGTTATCTTGAGACAAATTTGTGTAAAAGTAATCTACATATCTATGGTAATCAGCCAGACATTCAATTTCTCAAAAGTCAAGATTTGAGGAGCATATTATTATTAAATTAGGAATGAACTGTAATGAACCATGAACGATTCGTTGTGATAATTTCGCTGTATTGCGCTTAGTGCCATTCATACACCGTCCCCGATATGGAGGACGTAAAAGGTATGGGGAGCGTGTATGTGTATATATATACGCGACGTGTAAGCTTCTGGCTCGATCATAGCCCTTGACCACCTCGCGGAGATCAGACTGTGCTGAACACCTCACGAACAACACTGGATGGAGAACACCTCACGTTGAGCACCTTAAAGAAGATTCCTCGCGAAGAACATCAATTATTAATCAGCCACAGAAGAAAACATTACCGAGGTACATGAAGAAAACGTAACTGTGTGCCTCATATAGAAAACGTAACTCAATATCACACAGAGATTGTCACATTGAACACGACAAAGAAAACGTTAAAAAACGTGATCCACACGAAGAACCCGTGAAAACCAAAGAAAACATTACTCTACAAATCACCAAAAGTTAGTGACAAGGGAAACAACAACATTCTGGAGCCATTAGAAAAAAAATAACAATTAGAATAAAGGAACAGCACAATATTGCGAGGACTGAAAACAAAAAGCAAACCAGGGCAAAACATTCCTGCGTTACAGAACACCGAAGAACAAGTCTCTGAAGCAACAAACACGAGTGAGGTAAAGTCTCAGCCACACCAGGGCCCGTAACGCCACACGCTTCAATATTATAATTGATCCGGTAAGATTTTCGCCGGAGGTGAGCCATCCAAGAGGATAAATTTCGAAAAGAACGAGGAACTACCTGCGGCAGAGAAACAAGGCATCGAGAGGCTACCTGAAGGAGGAGGAGAGAGCCTCTGCAAAGACGCTTGTAGTGCTCTTGAAGGGAGAGAGAAAGGCTTACTCAAGTAGTTATCGATTCCCAGTTGAACTTCCTCTCCTCCTTCTACTTCTTCTCCAGTCACTGAAAGAATGGTAAGTCCTCAACAAGCTTCTATTGTTTGGGAAAGAGCATTTTTTTTTGGGGGGGGGTGGTAGGGTAGTGTTGGCGTGGTCTGGTTGCGTGTGGGGAGTGGAGGAAGTGATGGTGATGCAAGCACAGGGGAGGGAGGGAGAGAGAGAGGGAGAGAGAGAGAGAAACGTTTGATGTGCTCGAGTTTGTTGACTCGGGGGCTAAGAGGAAAGGGTGGGTGGGGGAGGAGAGAGCTTCAGAGTTTGCTTTGTTACGTAGCTTATTGAAGGACTTTGGTATATTGCGTGTTCGGAGGTATTGACTTCGCCAGAGAAGGACAGAGAAGAGAGCCGTGATAGTTGGTGAACGAGTATTTGTTGACCTGGTGACATAGTGAAAGCAGAACATCAACTACCTCAAAGTATAAACAACCACTAAAATCACTATGACGTTGATGATGACTAAGGCGGCGAGAGGAATGTTTACCTTCATATAAATACATCCACTGACATCATAATTCAGTTTACCTTCTACCATCGCCCAGAATAATTTTGGGCACTGGGTTATTGCGCACGGGTGATATTCTACCCCCTTCCTATGCTAACCTCTAATGAGTATTTTATCATGAGAAAAAAGCTTAATGTCTTTAAAGTTGTTAATGTTGAATTCAATCTTAATGTTGAATTCCATCATTAATGGTTAATTAGTTGTCTGTGGTATTATTAAGTTTGTTCAACACGAACAAAGTTGTGCACGATGGTAATTTTAATAGATTTCTTTTGTCTGTGTGCCAGTATGTCTGCCTGTGTGTCTATCTGTGTGCCTGTATGTCTGTGTGTCTGTATGTCTGTCTCCCTTTATCTCTTCCTCTCACTTCACAGCACAATTTTACCTCAACTGATCAAAACTTCACCTGTGGGTGAGCTACCTAAGGAAAGTATGTCATGACATACTGCCAAGCGTCCATCACCAGCGATGATCAAGGCACTCTGAAGTTTAATATCGCGCTTGGGAAAATCTTGAGAGGAGCACGCCCGGCGGCCAGCTATTCAAGGCGACCAGACTTAAGCAAATTGGGGATGAACTTTCCTCTATAATTCTCATCCGAAAACTTGTGTGGTAAAGATTTTCCTGTAGGATGAAAGACCGAAGATCAAATTATAATTTCCTGTGTATAAAAAAACTCTTTAGTATTGGAGAATTAGCTGTGATTAATTCGATTTTCTTTTTCTTTTTTTGAGAATCCTGTTTCACTTTACTGTCAGAGGATATTTTCATATTCCTCATCATAACATTATCTTATTGGAATATGAAGGTTTTATACTCCCATCAAGTCTATGGTGAAAGAAGAAAGATGTTGAATGATTCATCGCGAACTTTGATGATATCGGTAAACAAACGCGTCTCTTCTCCACACAATCTCTTCCTTGTCACATTAAATCAACTTCTTCACGTCATGTGTTAACTTGGAGTCGAATACTGAACGTTTCTTAGAGGAAGTCAACCGGTATATGGGAGTCATTGTGGGATCATAATTCTTATACTATATTTGCCGTCCTTTCTATCTCTTATCTTTACTGAGGTGGTCCGGAGAGGGGGGCCCACGAACTATAAGAATCAGAACCTTTTGTTTTCAGTGAAGCAAGAAGTAATACATTTTCTGTGTACCTGTGTCTCATGCAAGAGGAGAGGTTCATTCACACCGAGGGAGGAAGGGGGGGGGTGGAGAAGGAGAAGAGAGTGGTGGAAGGGGCGTGTCAGGTTACTCCCCCCAGTAAGCTCGCCAGAAGACCTCCTCTTGTAGTTTTAATACCTAAACGTCAATGATATGTCGCAGCAAACATTAGACGACACAAAACTGATTTGTGTTATGTTGGTGATAATACTCTACAAGATGAGTGTTGATGCGGTAAGATAGACCCAATATACAGTTTCGCTTGAAACTTTAGGAGACTAATTTCACTTAAGATTCCCTTCACTACTTAACAAACGTTACAAAAATTGGATTAGATTAGATTAGATTAGATTAGGTTAGGTCAGGTCAGGTTAGGCTAGCACTGATGCTATTCACATGTTTCTAAATGATCGTTCATAATTATCGACAGCTTCAAATTGTCGAAAAATGCTAACACATATATTGAAATTATATATCATAATTATTCCCTAAAATTAATGATACATGAGCAATTAACTTGTTCACCGGGAAACGGAGTCTTATGGTGACGTATGAAACCAATAACTGACAAAACATCTTAGTTGTGTCGTCAAGAATGTTTGGGAGCAGTCTGTCTCCATCATCAGGCAACTACGAAACAAAACAAACACACAAGGCGGAAGCACTCAGTTGTGCAATATACATGTCAGTGGAAGGCATCTGTAAACCTAACATTAAAACTCATTAAACTAAACTGCGTATAATCAGCAAAATAAAATATGATAAAACACGAAATCTATTCATGACATGAACTTTGTGAACATGAACTATCAAGACTGAAGGAAATTTACTTTCGAAACATAAGAGGTATAAGGACGTCTTGTTACTTACTAAGGATGGTTTCTCCTTAACACTCGACAGAGAAACCATTATTAGGGGTTGTGTAGGGTTAGGAGCGGGTGATGACTGTCGACGAGTCCAGGTGTTGGAGTTATCATTGTTAGGCGCACGGCTGGCGCTGAGTGATAGGTTAGTTAGATGTCGGGTTGTTTTAATTCACTTGACTCATGCTCAAAGATGTGTCCATCTTAATTGGTGTTTTCATTTGCCAATATACACTGCGTTACAGCAGTGGCACTGGCATTTATAGACGACAGATGCCTGCAAGTCCTTAGGAATAACATATTTGAGTATAAAGAAACTGCCTAATTATGACTTTAATCTGTAACTGGAGATAAGAGTCACTAAGTAATTTATTTACTTTTTTAGTGCAAAACTGTAGTGAGAGATAAAGATTATCAAAACATATACTGAAGCTTTACTAACAAAAGGTATTTGTTGTGTGGGCTGTCTCAGCTAAGCCATTTTCCAAATTGGACAACTTAGTAATTAACTTTGTACAAGAAGGCTTACTATATATGGAGGTAGAACATGAGATATTAACATTGATCTATCAAGACATTAGGAAAGATAATTTACCATTAGTCTCCCGCTCACACGTGAACACTACGTTAGAGTGCCTGGAATTTGGGTAATCTAAGAATTTATAAGATTGCGCCTGATATATAAAAGGAAGGAAGGTGTCATCTACATACCTACGATAAAATAAGAGCTTGGAACCTAAGGGACAATCATCTAAACACCGTGTATCATAATGCACCAAAAATGCATTAGCCAACGTGAGGTCCAAGGGGCTTCCCATGACAACACCACCAACCTGAGTGAAGGCACGGTTATTGAAAAAAATACACTCTTGTGTTGCTAGTGATAAGAGTTCGTATAATTTCCGTTTTGTGAGCGAATGAACCACTTCACAATCACAATTAGGCCTCCAACACGAGCTTGCCAATAAAAAATCATTAAAATTAAAGTCGAGTATCTCTTTAACAAATCTGCGGGAAACTGACACCGCGAACTGATTTTTAGTGACTGGTGTCATTAATGGAACCAGGAATTTCGAAAGATATAATCAAACGTTCCCACAGCTGACATTATTGGCCTTACAGGACATCTTGCCTTATACTTTGGGCAGGCCCTGTATAGTTCCAGGTTTGGGGCTCGTCAAACAAATGAGAATAGTTGACTTCATTAATTACACTTAACCTGTCTGAGATACCTGTTGATATTCTTTGCTTTGTTCAAAATATTCCAAAGAAATTCACCCTTTATAAGTTTCTTATTAGAGGTGTCAGTAAGGAAACTTGACATCTTGCTGACATACTCCTGTTTATTGATTAAAACCATATCATTACCTTTATCAGGTATCACAACAATAGTCTTGTCCTTAAGACATCATTTTAGATCATTATATACATCCTTTGTCAAGTTGTGGGTAATATTTCTATCCATCGAATGAAATGAGAGAAAATAATAAAGGCTTTGAAGAATTTTTAAATAATTGAAGCTCCTTTTTCAGGACCTAACCTAACTTTACCTAACCCAACCTGCTTTAGGTATAAGTTGACAATCATGTTACGGTAAACGACGTCTTATTATTATCATTGTGTGAAATATGTTTTAAACCTCATTTGTATCATATGCATGAATATTTTGTGGATAATCTGTATACAGTATTCATCCCAGCATCTCTCCGTCCTTTCAGTTCACCACCTCTCCATCACAGAGCCTCACCACCTTACCGTCTCAACATCTTTTCATCCATCTCCCAGACACCTCGTCCCTCTCCCTAACACCAGGGCCTCACTGATCTGGCTCCACGCCCTTGTGTCCCTCCCCTCACCTCCCTACCACTTTTCCTCCTCCCCTTTATCACTCCTCCCGTCTTCACCTATCTCCCTTCCTCCTCCTTCGCCTAATCTTAATATTAGACGACGACTAATCACGATACTGTCATCCTTACACCTAGCCTCCCGCCTTGTCTTAATTTTAGCAAGAGCACATTCATTATGATGTCATCCCTGCCACCCCAGCGACCATGGTGGTGTCATTCCTTCCACCACACCCTAGCGATCATGCTGGTGCCATTCCTGCCACCAGACACCCTAGCGATCATGTTGGTGACATTCCTACCACCACACACCCTAGCGATCATGTTAGTGTCATTTCTACCACCACACACCCTAGCGATCATGTTGGTGTCATTCCTGGCACCACATGACAGACGGTCGAGGGGGATTTTCAGCTTTGCTATTTCTGGAGTGTTACAGTCTCTATACACTCACTCACTCACCCACCCACCCACACACACACCTACACACACACACACACACACACACACACACACACACACAGCAGATAAGTTAATTACTGTCTATTGTTTACTATTGTAAGATACGATAGCTGCACTTCCGACCTTATTTTTCTTTTGAATATTTGTGTTCATTTATTGGTACAGTACATCTGTCTGTATGTCTGTCTGTCTGTCTGTCTGAACATCATACATTTAATTAATCTCAACACCTGTGTCTTTCAGGAGAGCATCGCAGAAGACAAGATGAAAGGTGAGAGAGCGCCAAGAACCCCGTGCCTTAATGTCTTGTTGGAGAGAGTCATTACCTCCACCACCCTCATCCCCAACACGTGCCGCAGAGAGAGATATATAGCCAGAGCGTGACGTCATGTCCTTAAAGGCAGACAACAGTTATTAACCAATCCTAACCTGATTTAAATGTATCCTAGGGTCATAAAGGTTAGGTATTAGTCATGCTGGTCTGTGTTTGTGTTTTTCCCATTTGGAGCATGACGTCACGTACTGCAGCCAACTATAGTCTGGTTGGTGGGGGAAGGAGTAATAACACGATATTCATTTTTTTCGTCATTTGTCTTTTAATTGGTGTGGTGTTCTACATTAAGTAATTTGGTCACTTACAAACAAAAATTTTTGTCTTGCATTTAACACTTTAAATCTGTAATCTGTCTACACTTGTGCATAGAGATGGGTGTATAATAAGGTCCCCGTTATATAATACATGTATCGTATGTTTGAAATTTTTATTTTATATCAGTTTAATTTTCGTATCTCATCCTGTTTAATTTTCTCTATTATATTCATCAAACTGTTTCTATGCATTTATCTCACTTCCTGTTCCCGGGTGCCCATGTGACCAGTGCTGAAGAGGACTTTCACCATGTTTGACCAGGATAGGTCAGGCTTCGTGCCCACCAATAAGATAGTCGCCATCCTCAACACCCTTGACATCAAGTTTACCCACGAGGACGTCACCAAGAGGATCAAGGTCATAGATGCAAACAGTGAGTGTGAAGTGTGAAGGTGCAGAGTCAGCAAGTGTGAAGTGTGAGGGTGCAGTCAGCAAGTGTGAGGTGTGAGGGTGCAGAGTCAGCAAGTGTGAAGTGTGAGGGTGCAGTCAGCAAGTGTGAGGTGTGAGGGTGCAGAGTCAGCAAGTGTGAAGTGTGAGGGTGCAGAGTCAGCAAGTGTGAAGTGTGAGGGTGCAGTCAGCAAGTGTGAGGTGTGAGGGTGCAGAGTCAGCAAGTGTGAAGTGTGAGGGTGCAGAGTCAGCAAGTGTGAAGTGTGAGGGTGCAGAGTCGGCAAGTGTGAAGTGTGAGGGTGCAGAGTCAGCGCGTGTGAAGTGTGTGGGTGCAGAGTCAGCACGTGTGAGAGTGCAGAGTCAGGAAATGTGAGGGTGTGCAGTCAGGAAGTGTGAAGTCTGAGGTTGTAGAGTCAGTAAGTGTGAGGGTCTGCAGTAAGGAAGTGTGTAGTGTGGGGTTGTAGAATCATTAAGTGTGAGGGTGTAGAGTCAGTAAATATGAAGAAAGTGAAATATTATATACAATATTTTCAAATCTAAACTAACATACTTAAAAATAAATCAAGCTTCTACCCGTTACTAACCTATCCTACAGCTCTTCCTGATATAAAATACAATACTGTAAAAAGTAAAATCATAACTAAAAATACAATATATGCATCGATAACTAACAATATATCATACTGTATACATTTAAAAGAGAAAATACAATATAAACATTTAAAACATGCATACACGTTTATAGCTTGTGCTCAAATATGTTCAACATCTCCCCACCAGAGGAAGGAAAGGTCAACTTCGATAATTTCGTCAATATCCTGAGCAAGTATATGGTGGATGATGAGTACGACGATGAGGCCATGTACGGCGAACTTAAGGAGGCCTTCAGACTCTACGATAGGGGAGGTGAGTCATGTAGGTGGCTAAGGTAGGTGGGTGGGTGTAGGTGGATGAGGTAAATGAGTGGTGGTTGGGGTAGGAGACTGGTGGGTGAGTGGGTAGGTGGATGAAGGATGGGGTAAGTCACATAGGTGAGTAAAGGAGGGGAGGTGGTGAATGGGGATAGGAGGTGGTGAATGGGGGTAGGAGGGTGGTGGATGGGGGGTAGGAGGGTGGTGTATTTTTGTTGGGGGTAGAAAACTGGTTGATGGGGTAGGTGGGTGATGGATGGGGTAGTGGATGAGGGATGGGGTAGTGGGTAGTGGGTGGTGGGTGGGGTAGTGGGTGGTGGGTGGGGTAGATGGATGATGGATGACGTAGATGGTGGGGTAGAAGGGAAGTAGTAGAATATGTGTTATTGTAGACTGTCAGTAGTTTCAATGAAGGTGAATGATGGAGGAGAGACAATGAAGTGATTGATAGTCGCACTTTATCAATACATTTTATATCGAACCTCAGATTACCATGACCTTGAATTTAATAAACAATAAAACCTGACAATACAAACATACATGTATATCAGTCACCGCTCAGTGACTACCAAGGAATACCTTTATGTCTGCTTTATGAGGCGATAATATTAATTGTATCTAATCCTATTATATGAAATCACGAATAATTGTTGATGCTATTAATATTATTTGATCTTGTATAATTAATCTCCTCCTCTTATTCCTCCTTCACCTTCGTCACCTTCTTCAGGCAATGGCTACATCACCACCAGCACGCTGAAGGAGATCCTAACGGAACTGGATAACAAACTATCGGACGAAGATCTGGACGGTATCATAGAAGAGATCGACGAGGATGGCTCAGGCACCGTCGACTTTGATGGTGAGTGATTTGGGAGGGGGGAGGGAGGAAAAAGGGTGAAGGCGTCTGATATGATGAGGCACCTGTTGACGGTGTTAGGGTTCTTTATGGGCATGACATATGTAGGGCATGGCTGGGTATGGGGGAGGCAGAGATCTGACGTGGTGACTCATGGGTACAGAGGAGGGAGGAGGAGGGGGGGGGGTGGGACTGGTGGTGGTGCTGTGCGAGATGAGAGAAGATATAAATAGAGGTGAAAATGGATGGTGGTAGATAGAAATAAAAGTGGCAGAATTATTAGAGGTAAAATTAGATGAAGGTGAAAACAGAAGGAAGGAGAAATGGGAGAAGTCTTGCCAAGTGTGTTGGAGGTCGAGTAAGAACATGTGGGGAGAGGAACTAGAACAGGTGCTAGTAGACGGTAGTGTGTGAAAAAGGGACAGACACACAAGTACGAGTATAGTCAGGAAATGAAGTTAAAGATAGGTTAGGGACTGACATCCAGGCCGATGACGTCATATGAACCAGACGTCTCGTGAGGATATTTATGTTTTCCTAGAAGTATTTGTTTGTTTTTAAAACACGTTGTATTGATAATTTGTTGTAGCTGCTGTTTTTGTTGTTGTTGTTGTTCGTTCCCCGTGTTGAAACTGAGTCACGGGATGAGTCTCCGAACAAATTTACCCTGACTGCTTCATCTCATTATGGGTCGATGCTGCTTCATTTTGGGCGGGAGCGAACTTTTGATCCCGACTGTACTTTAGCTCGTTGGGTTATTAAATACCGAACACAAACAAATCTTGGTGTCTTTTATGCGATATTCACATAAAAAATCCTCCTAAAACTAGTAATGTGGATCTATTGACGTAACAATTCCAAAAAGAACTGTGGTTTGTCTCAGCATTCATGATGAAAACTTTTATTCAGGCTACACTTTTTTAATGTATTTCATTCACGAACAATAGTTATTTTACCCCGTTGTTCGAAGTCGTACTTAACCCAAATGTGCAACCACAGCGCCTATGGATATGATGGAAGTTAGAAGACTTATTTTAGCAGTTCAGTCTCGAGAGTTTTGTTCGTGGCAGCATATATGTGGAAATTACTCCTTTACATATTATTCATAAATTATTTGTTTCCCCTGGCAGAATTCATGGAGATGATGACAGGTTAGAGAGATGTGCCTGGAAGTGACCTAATTCGTCTTCAAGATAACTACTAGCTCACCTTCAAGTCGAATCCAAGTCGAACACTGTCTGAGTCTTCAGTCCCTTCTAGGTCTCCTCGTGGTCCTTTTGTCTCGCTTTCTGATCGATTAATTTCCAGGTTACCACGGCCAATCACGTGTTTCTGAGAAGAGAGAAGAACATTGCATTATCAACATTACCAACACCTGTCAATGAAAAGACTGAATAACGTTACGCATCACCAACTCTTCTCTTATAAAACCCACAAAAGCTATACCAAAAAATACAAAACTTTTTTACTTTAACAACTCCTAAACCTTTATAAGTATCTTAAAAATTAGGTAATATGTTGATCGAAGTAGCTTAAATGATTCCTAAGTTACTTGAATGCCAAAATCGAATTACATAATGCTGTTGAGTAATTCTTTCTCAGTGGGTCACCTTGAAACAGCTATTGACACAAGAGAAGAGGAAAAACCCAAGTCGGGTTATATGGAAGTCAGGTCATTCACTTGGGTTAATTATCTCCTAAGAAATTAAGGTTAAAGAAGAATTTTTGACTCGATGTAACCTAAGCTAAGTGGGTGAAAATGATGTTCCAGATGGTTGTAAATGATATCTGAACAGCTGTAAATAATGACCTGGACGGCTGTAAATAATGACCAGGACGGCTGTAAATGAAGACCTGAACAGCTGTAAATGATGGCCTGTGCTATGATGCAGTATTCTCTTGTCTTTCTTTAGCTGCTTCATTTCCCTTATTCACTGTAAGAAAATAACAGCTAATAATTCTGCCTTTTAACTCTTTTTATTTGTTATAATTTGATTAATTTGTTTAGAAAAATAATATACATACAGTATACTGTATATCTTTCGTGATTTTCACCTATTGTTTATGTATATACAGAATATGTAAAAATAAATAATTAAATTTCCTTTTTTGTTACAATTCCTTGTTTTGGTATTTTGTTGATTCGCAGAAATAAACAATGAGTATTTTTCAGTCTTTTCTCTCGATTGGTTATGTTCATTAAAGCACTATTAATGATCTTGTTCTTATGCCCATTTATATTAAATAACTGTGTTGTTGCATTTTGTGTCTTCTTTTAAAGTATAAATAAAGATTGCTAATCAACTTCAATTTTATCTCTTCCTTTTATTATTATCTTACTTTTCCAATTAATTTTACTTTTTCGTAAAACTGTTTACTCCATCTGCAACCTTAAATTACCACTGTTACTCTATCTGTGGTCATAAATTAGCACTGTTACCTCCATCTGTGACCATAAATAAGTTCAGTTATAACCACCCGCCATACTTGATCATTCTTAAGCTTTCATGGTTGTTGTCTGGTGTAAGAACTACCGTAGCAAAGGAGCTTACGGACTCACGGCTATGTAGGAAAATAAACACAGGGAAACACAAGGCAAGATAAAAAACTGACAAATGCAATCCTCCCTCAAAAGTTTTCTTCCCGACTCCTATTTTCTTGAAACAATAATATATATATTCCCGACTCGTGAGGTATTGTTTGTATATAGAAGTCCGCGTGCTACGTGGACTAATATATATATATATATATATATACATATACACATGTACACTGATGTTATTTGTCATATTTAACTAATTTATTACTTAGATAAAACACTTCCTCTGTCTCTCCAAAAGTGTACAATGAATTTCGTTCTCAGTCTCTTTCTTTAGACGTTGAAAAACGACCAAAATACATCATTCATCACGCGACCCTGTTCCTACCTGAGGCGCACCAGGTCTCCCAGGGGTGGTGATCTTAGTCTAGTAAAGAATGTTATTAATCACTGTGAACTCATTTTAGAAGTGTAGGCCTTGTATTGTCTCCCTCTGATCATAACTCGTAGTACTGCTGCTACTACTACTAATATTACTACTACTACTACAAATTATAATAATCTCGTACATAAATTACATATATAGACACATACTTCACTTTATACATACACCGATAGTTATAAGTCCCCATCTGTTCTCCAGTCATCCTCCTCTCACCTTTCTTGCGCTAGTCAGGCCGCATCTCGATTATGCGGTTCAGTTCTGGTGCCCTTATTATAGAATGGATATTAATTCACTAGAGTCGGTGCAGCGAAGAATGACGAAAATGATTCCGGGACTTAGAAACCTTCCATATCAGGATAGGTTAAAGAAACTAAACTTGCATTCCCTAGAAAGACGAAGGGTGCGGGGAGATATGATAGAAGTATTTAAGTGGGTGAAAGGAATCAATAAAGGGGATATAGATAAAGTTCTTATAATATCCGTGCAGGATAGGACTCGGAGCAACGGATTTAAGTTGGATAAGTTTAGGTTTAGGAGGGAGATAGGAAGGAACTAGTTCACAAATAGGGTGGTGGACGAGTGAAACAAGCTTAGCAACTTTGTAGTAAGTGCTGGAACGCTGGAAAGTTTTAAAAGGAGGCTACATAGATTCATGGATGATAGAGAGTGGTAGTAACTCTCGACAGGAGCTGCCATGCACAGGCCAACCGGCCTATTGGAGACTCCTTATTTTCTTATGTTCTTATGTTCTTATCTCAGTTGTGGAGAACGAGTGAACGGGCAGAGCGACACTAACTCTTCTTGGAGTTCCTCACCCATAATAATGTGACACCCAAGTCGGAGCAAAATGTGCCCTTCTCTGTGACTAAGCCCATATAGGTGTGTGTGTGTGTGTGTGTGTGTGTGTGTGTGTATCAGGTAGCTACTGCCATAACAAAACCTCAGGGTCTGATGGAATCCCAGCCGAGTTGTATAAAGCAGGAGGACCTCTGTTTACCCGGATTCTGAAAACAGGATGAGGATCCAGGTACGCTCCCTCCAGGGTGGTGTATCCGAAAAAACGCAAGGAGGAACTGGGCATACTATTACATGTCCAGCTAAACATCAAATTCGCCGCCTCGATTGAAGCAAAGAACTCATTCATAGTCCTTTACCTTGAAGAAAAGGACGTGGATAACATGCTCGCCGCCGATGCTATCAAGATGTTGAAGGGAGAAAACTTCGAAATAGTAAAACCACCACAACTCCGTGACAAGAAATATAGACATAAAAAATGGTAGAAAGGAATGTATTAAAGGAAACTCCAAATTACATAGCAAAGCATATAGAAGAGAAGAACTCCTGGCAGAGTCAAGGAGGTGGTGTTAATGCCCAGGGCCCCTACCATTAGGTTTGCAGAGATTTTCATGGCTCAAAAGGTTTTGGAGAATGGACTCTGCATCTCCTACTACCTAACAAAACAACAAACTGAACAGGAAGAGTTCTACCCAATAACACCGTGTTGTAACTGCTACCAATACACCCATTTATTTTACAAATTGTCCTCAAAAGGATAAGAAGTTCTATTCTGAATGCACAGCAGAGGGCCACACATTCAGAGAATGTAGTAACAAAGACAATCCCAAATGCCTGAACGGCAATGGGGACCACAGTACACTGGCAGCACGTTGCTCCACAAGAAAAGAGATCATTAATAAATTGAAGGAAAAGGAAAGTAAATAATAAAGTAGAAACGGATCCCAACCAAACATATGCAGCATTACCAAAACTGCAAGACACCACTAGCAAAGTCTTGGGAAAAAACACACACACACACACAACCTACCTACCTGAAACTGAGCGAAGGACTACCATTCACAATACTAGCGACTATTATCCACGCACACATCAACAACGTCGCAAAACCAGGATCCTTCGGAAAAATGACCAGGGAAATGTTCGCTGCCAATAATCTGTCAGAGGTGAAACTCCCAGACGACGCCCCTTCAACAGAAATTTTCAAAATTATTACCGAGAGCAGCCTGGAAATTACAGACACTCAGGAGCAAACACCCAAAGCTGTCGGAGAAGAAAACGTGGTGGAATTACATCTCATCAGCCAACCAATCACACCACACCACAAATTATCAGGTAACGCAACTCAGCAGACAGAGAAGCTACAAACCGCCAAAGCTGACCCAACCAAAGGGAAAGCAAGAAGAGAGATCCACACTGGCCATCGTGCCCTCCCATCTTCACCAACCAGAGTGCAGGTAGCAGACCTAGGCGAGGAGATCGCCATCCGTTTCTATCCAGTCAACACACAACCTACAATATCAAATGATAGATTTGTGCACGAGATCAAGGAAGGCACAGTCAAATTCACTTACGAAGATGCCAGGGTAGAAGAAGCCCACATAGAAACGTTGATTAGGGTAGGACTAATAAGCACCAAATATAACAAAATTGAAAGGGTAGCTGTAACAAATTACAAGAAAATTAGAACGGGACTAAAGGAAGAAAGACACAGACACTCGACAGGTGAAACATGAGCCAGCAAACAACCTGCACCCAGTTCCCGGGATCCACGACTGTACAAAACAGATCATTAAAGATAATCCAACAACATCCTTGCCTGGACTCAGGCGAAAAAAACAAAAGTCATAAACGTATACGGTATAATAGACCCAGACATCATTCTTATCAACTCACACGGACGAAACAACAACGAAAAAATCAAAATATTTAATTACGGCGTATACCAAAGAAACATCAACGACGAACTCCATGGCGGGATAACAATAGCAATTAAACGAACGATGCAGTACAAAATAATTGATAGCTTCCAAAGTAACTTCCTAGCAGTAGAAACAAACACCACCAAAGGACCAATAACAATAGGAACATCTTACCTATCAATCAGAAGACCAATATTCCCGACAGGAGACCTCCTAAAATTAACCAGATAAAACAGCCCGGCATACTTCTTAGGCGGTTTAAATGATCGACACACAACCCTTAGACACCACAACAGAAATCCAGCTGGAGCCATTATGCGTAACTTAATTGAACAAGGTAGCATTACACACCTCGGCCCAGACTTCCAAACATTTATAACACCGGGAAACTCGGAGAAACCCGACATAATTCTGAATAACAAATACCACCATTTACACACACACACATAAAACCTGGAACCACAAGCACCAGTGACCACCTACCCATAATAGTAACGTTCTCTACATCGCCAATACATTAATGGTTTTAAATAAGTTCTGGAACTCTTTAAGTGGCAGGGCTTAATGTAAACACTTCTTGCTGTTTTTCCTTTATTGGCAAAGCAAATATATTCACAGCAACAGTGTGAGAATATATTGTAAATTCTCTCTAGGGAAATGTTATGAATACACTTTAAGAAAACACTTGAGTGGCGTGCTCTCCCTTGATCAAGTGGTAAAGAGGTGGTCCTCACCTCTGAGCGTGAGAAAGGAGAGAGCATCAAGCAGTGGTTTGATTAATCAGATGACCTGCGTTCGACCTCGGAGGTAGTTACAAGCTCAGCCGTGAATAATTAATCATCAACAACTGAGTCATTGTTGAATAACTTGGTGAACAAGTTAGTGTTATTCATTTGGGTGAATATTTATATAAAGAAAATGTGTTGTTACAAATAGAGCAAACAGGGAAAAATTTTAAACAGCCCTCAACACCGAAGACACAATACTACTCCACAACAAAAACACAAACGAAATCGATATTGCCTTAGAAACATGCTGTACAAAAATCACAACAGCTATGAAAACAACATCCCCAAAACAACATATCATTCAAACCAGATTCACCGACCTACACGAATTTACAAGAACGCACTGCTGGAGCCTATACACCCCAGTATTATATAGAATCCTCAAAGAGGAATTGCAAGAAAGGTACAAAATAAAATACAATAAAAATTGGAATCAACTGATTACCAACACACAAGCAGACTACAAAGATCAAAAAGCTTTCTGGACCAAAGTAAGAAATCTGATGGGAACCAACTCAGCAGAAAACAGCTACCTTAGAGACAACAACGGCAAAAAGATCTCAGAACCAAAACTCAAAGAACCAATATTTAGATCATTTTGGAGCGGCATTTACCAAATCACGGATGAGGACAACAAACTTCGGTTGAGAAACAGAACAGATGGTGAAAACACACCTCAACCAAAACAAAAAATGGCAACACTACAGGACAATCAACTTCAACACGTTGGACATCAACAACCCACTAATTGCTCAAATAACCACACACGACACCAAAGAAACAATTGCCAGCTTCAAGAATAAATCACCCGAAAT